AGCATCAAACCTCTCTAATTTTTTACTTAGAATAGGAATTCAAAATTTCTGGTCTAGGCTGGTCCGATGGTAGTGGGTTATCAGAACTTACTAACATTAGCGCCATTAAAATTGGTATACAACCCCCCACTGCTACATTTGGCTTTAAAAAAATATTTCTGGTCTAGATTACCAAACTTTGAGGTTATATGCTGAAAATGAGAAAAATAAAGATGGCGAGACAAGTTTGTTAGAAATGCAGAATCTCAGGCTCTATCCCTGACCAGTTACTGAAGTGAAGCCTGCATTTTAACAAGGTTCTCAGGTGCTTAATATGCATTTGAAAGCTTGAAAGGCACTGGTCTTTTAAGACATGGGCTAGCACTTAAGTTAGCAGTGGAGTAACGGAATGAGATCTGCAATTTTAATCACTCTAACAGTTGAAGAAGGACTTTGAGGAGGGTAAGAATGGAGGCAGGAGACGAGTTAGAAGACCATAGTAACAATATAAAACCACAATCACCAGCAGGGTGCAGTGGCTCATGGTGGCTCACGCCTGTAATCCTACCACTCCGGGAGGCGGAGGTGGGAGGATCACTTGAGGTCAGGAGTTTGAGACCAGCCTGAGAAAGAGCAAAATCCTGTCTCTACTAAAAATAGAAAAAATTAGCCGGGCGTGGTGGCCCAAGTCTGTAGTCCCAGCTACTCGGGAGGGTGAGGCAGGAGGATTGCTTGAGCCCAGGAGTTTGAGGTTGCTGTGAGCTAGGCTGATGCCATGACACTCTAGCCTGGGCAACAGAGACTCTGTCTCAGAAAAAAAAAACAAAAACAAAAACAAAAACAAAAGCACCACAATCACCAAACGTATCTGCTAGGTGAGGCAATTTTCTCTAGCAATGCCTGGAGATGCAAAGAAGAGATGGTAAGTGGTTAGATTCACCAAGGACTGGGGTTCTCCTAGGCAAGTGGGCTGGAGAAGTTCAGATAGAAGAAGGCTACGGGACAAGGACTCTACGAACTGAAGATCTTAATGAGATCAAAGAATTCTTTCTGAGAGGCCTTTGAACAAATAAGCTAGAAGGAAAAGGGCTGTGGTGAGAAAGCAGGATGTCTACACATGTGCATTGGGAGACTATGTACTTTTTGAAGATGTCAAGGCTCAAGATGTTCATGGGAGTGCGTGGCGGGGCTGGGGAAAGAAAGTTCAGAGGTGCGAGAAAGCGAACATGCCAAGGAGCCACGGTGTGCATGTTGGAGTTGCTGGAACGGTGAGCGGAGCTGGACAGAGGGGAGACGGACACCCAGCTGCTGAAATACTCAGCATCGAGGGAGAGCTTGGCAGATGACAGCAACACAGAGGGGAGGAGAAGGTGATAAAGTCAGACAGTACAAACCTCAAAGGAACAGAAGGTTTTCTAAGAAGGGGGGAAAGTGATGGTTTGAAAGCAAGCATGGGTAGCAAAGGAGATCTCAAACTCCTCTCAATTCTGAGAGGGCTAAGTTTCAGTCAAGAGCGGGTGGGGGCTGGATGAGGGAATGAGCAGAGCCATGTAGGAACGGAACCCTGGAAAACACTGGTATTTAAGGAGCTGGCAGAAGAAGGAGGCAAGATTGGTCTGAGAAGTTTATGAAAACCAAGAGGGTAAAAAGTATCAAGGAGGAAGAGACCAGGGAGGTCCAGTACAGTTAAGGGCTAACAATGCCCATCGAATTTAGCATGTAGGTCACTAGTGGCTTCAGAGAAGACACTTCAACAGGGCTGTTGGGGTAGAAGACAGATTGCACTGGGCTAAGGACATTCAATTAATTCTGTGATGTGGTTAATAGTTGGAATGGAATTAGCAATAAAAATTACTAATTCTTTCCCTTCATTTATAAAATAGAACAACTCTTTTCTCTATATATGTTGGAGATTCTGCAAAGAAATTTAAGAACTCTACCATTTTTTCTTTTTCTTTTTGAGTTTAAATTGACATAACTTTACTTATGTTTTTAATTTTTAAATTGACAATAGTACATATTCATAGGGTACATAGTGATGTTTTGATGCATATAATGCATAGTGATCAGATGAAAGTA